TTTTTCGATAGTTCCTCTATAACTGGCTGAAAGAGAAACACAATGTTTAAAACAATCTTTGGATTTAGTTGTTGAGTTCACTTATCAAACAAAGAAAATTCGAGTGCATATCTGGTAGGTAGGAGACAATCATCTCTATCAGAAGAACATTTTATCGTTTAACCACGCTCAGGCTTTAACACCTGAGCCATCGCTATGTTGGATGCTGTTTCCCGAAATGAAGTACTAGATATACTGTTAGATAACGTTTGTTAACAAAATAATGAGGGAAAGATAACCGTAATGAGACCATCTAAAGGGGAGTTTGCACCTTTGCTACTTTTTTTTATACCGTGAGACATAAATTTTCACGGGCATTTAATTTCGCGGATTTTCGATATTTCACGTTTCGAGAGAACAGATGTTCCTGAATTTACTCCTGGGGACAAATTTTCGTGCATTTCGTGTACGGTACTTGAAAGTAACAAAAATTATAGTAATTCCTAATTTGTCAACTCACGACTAAAAATTAATTTACAAAGGGCAAGCCGGTATGATTCATACCGTAGTCCTATGTGTGAAGGACAGAGTTACATACAGACAACAGTTTATGTCGATGTTGAGCTGAAAGCCAGAATTGTTTGTATTTCCCACAGCGTTGGTCTTTTGCTGTTCCACCATCCTTAGTTTCTAAGTCATACTCTTCGCCCGAGTCACTGTTTTCTGCGCAGTCCACAAGCAGTCTTTTATTTATTGCATTCTGAGCAGGAGATACCGCAGTCTCCTTGTCTTGACCGAGTTGATTTAAAAAGAAAACTAGTTTACTCAGAGACGGTACACTCTTAATTGCATTACCATATTACTTATAGCTCGTCGTCGTTACATTGTTTGCAACCAATTTTTTGGGACGCAAGTTTACTTTCATGCGGCATTTAATTTTCGCGGATCGATGAAAATTAGATCCCACGAAAACTTCATGCTATGCTGTAGTTCGTTTGTTAATGGAGGTTCCACTGGCGGAGCCAGGGGTGGATGATCCCCCTCCCCTTATCTCAAGGTCTGGATCCGGCACTGGGTTCTTATATATACAAAACTGTAAACATTGTTACGATTTGTGAAGTGGTATCCCTACCTCTAGCTCCTTAAGAGTTGATGTCAGTAAGGATCAAAGATCGGGCGGACAGAGCTCAAAATTTGATTTCGCCTATACTTTGTACACTGGTAGGCCCAGGTACTATACATATGAAATCAAGGTTTATTTGGCAAAATATTGTTTCGTTTCAAAGAAATTTGATTTTAACTGTAAACGGTATTTTTCGACGTAATAACCTTGAAAATTGCCAACTTTCACGAAATTATTGAGTCATTTAGTCGATTGTTTTACGATGTCTTCACGGATATCCAGTTAATCTAAAGCTATTTCAGTCCACTGATTCCCAAAACAGCTCGCTAACGCTGCTCACAAAAAATATATGATTTTTAAAGAAGCACACCAACATCCTTCTCGAATTTGGTGCAATGGCTGGTCAAAACAACATGTCAGAAATGCCCGATGGTGCGCAACGAATCACACCAGAAAACCTTTTGGTATTCTTTAAAAGGATAGTTTTAACTTTCTACAAGCTTATATGTTTGGGATCTTTCGTACTTTTTTGACAAATACTTCTTAAAGTGAGCACAATTCCGCCTTCCGCCATCTTGCCGCCATTACCGAAACAGGCGAAACGGAAGTCACCGCTACGGCATCGAACGGTACATATTTTTTCACTTCTTTTGACTGAAGAATCTCCCATAAGCTTTAAGATCAACCAAATTTACCTGTAATCAAGTCCAGTGTCAAGAAAAAGCAGCAAGAAACGCACCATACTTCGGCGATTACTGTCTACAATCGTGGTCTGCAAAGACTAAAAGTGACTCCGTGCTGTGACTCGGGCAACGTTTGGACTTTGACGCGCTTCACTGAGTCTCACTTGTGTACCCTTCGCTTGAGCTTTCAATACTCATCCGTTTCAATTTTAGTTTTGATAAGTCTCATTCCATGGGCACTTTTAACTCTCCATCCCGCATCTCGTATAACAATATTCCATTTGTCACGCAATATGTGTGACAAATGAACCGGAAATAAAATTCTCCTCAAACTCCTTTCCGGCATTTTAAGAAACTTTCCTGACTTAACAAAGTGAATCCTTCACTAAAACGGTCTAAATCAGAGGCTTCAATTTTTAAATTAAATTTATGTGGGTAAATTAAATGATCTTAACTTTAACTATAATCACACATATATCTAGAAATATCAAACCGAAACTAATACCATCATTTTTTTAGAAATGACGGAGAAAATGCATGCCTTTGAAAATCTACTGGTTTTCACACATCAATCCTTCGTTAAAAGAAAAAGTTAGGGTAACTAACTTCTTTTTCGTCACCAGAGCTGCTATCAGTTTTTTTTGGCTGGTCAAAAACCACGCAATCTGCTAATAAGTACAAAGCCTCTGCTGAAAAACAAAATTGGTTCGCAATTCTTAGCCACATCTTGTATTTGTTCTTGTTGTTCATTGTTCAGAAGCAAGGAAATTCCGGTTAAACGAGTGGGCATTAAAAGTACAGTCTCTCTATCTGAGCTGTGAACTTATGCATCAATTGCAGCTGCTACAGTCCCCGCGGGCTGACCTCTGGGGAGGTCCGGGGTTGGCCAATGGCCGACCTCCGGGCAAGGCAAAATTTGCTAATGCCCTACCCCCGGGACCGACAAGGGGGAAAATATCCCACAGTGGCCCGCAGGGGGGGGGGGACTAGGTGCAGCTGGAATTGATTGATGCATTAGGGCATTGCATTTTGCCTGACCCGTGGTCCCTGAAAACTTAAGTTATAATCACGTATTATAACAACCTCGTTCCCAGGGTTCTCTCCTACCCGGTAGGAGAGACCCTGGGAACGAGGTTGGTGTTATAACAGGATACAAGCTTACAATTTCTTTACTCGATTGTTCTAGTCGATTACACTCGAGCACAAGAGCACTCCTTAACGACCTGCGTAATACGACTTATGAGTGGCTTTTTTCGTTTTTCCGTGATATCATCCACGTTTAAGCCAATATCTTCACAAATGTCCCTTAGCACTGCAACTGTTAAGGTAGATAATTTCTTTGTATGAACCAAACTGCAAATGTTACGGGAAAGGGCGACAATGGGGTGACGTAAAGCAAAAAGAGCTCAAAATTTGATTTCGCCTATACTTTGTACACTGGTAGGCCCAGGTACTATACATATGAAATCAAGGTTTATTTGGCTAAATATTGTTTCGTTTCAAAGAAATTTGATTTTAACTGTAAACGGTATTTTTCGACGTAATAACCTTGAAAATTGCCAACTTTCACGAAATTATTGAGTCATTTAGTCGATTGTTTTACGATGTCTTCACGGATATCCAGTTAATCTAAAGCTATTTCAGTCCACTGATTCCCAAAACAGCTCGCTAACGCTGCTCACAAAAAATATATGATTTTTTAAAGAAGCACACCAACATCCTTCTCGAATTTGGTGCAATGGCTGGTCAAAACAACATGTCAGAAATGCCCGCGGTACGCAACGAATCACACCAGAAAACCTTTTGGTATTCTTTAAAAGGATAGTTTTAACTTTCTACAAGCTTATATGTTTGGGATCTTTCGTACTTTTTTGACAAATACTTCTTAAAGTGAGCACAATTCCGCCTTCCGCCATCTTGCCGCCATTACCGAAACAGGCGAAACGGAAGTCACCGCTACGGCATCGAACGGTACATATTTTTTCACTTCTTTTGACTGAAGAATCTCCCATAAGCTTTAAGATCAACCAAATTTACCTGTAATCAAGTCCAGTGTCAAGAAAAAGCAGCAAGAAACGCACCATACTTCAAGGATTACTGTCTACAATCGTGGTCTGCAAAGACTAAAAGTGACTCCGTGCTGTGACTCGGGCAACGTTTGGACTTTGACGCGCTCACTGAGTCTCACTTGTGTACCCTTCGCTTGAGCTTTCAATACTCATCCGTTTCAATTTTAGTTTTGATAAGTCTCATTCCATGGGCACTTTTAACTCTCCATCCCGCATCTCGTATAACAATATTCCATTTGTCACGCAATATGTGTGACAAATGAACCGGAAATAAAATTCTCCTCAAACTCCTTTCCGGCATTTTAAGAAACTTTCCTGACTTAACAAAGTGAATCCTTCACTAAAACGGTCTAAATCAGAGGCTTCAATTTTTAAATTAAATTTATGTGGGTAAATTAAATGATCTTAACTTTAACTATAATCACACATATATCTAGAAATATCAAACCGAAACTAATACCATCATTTTTTTAGAAATGACGGAGAAAATGCATGCCTTTGAAAATCTACTGGTTTTCACACATCAATCCTTCGTTAAAAGAAAAAGTTAGGGTAACTAACTTCTTTTTCGTCACCAGAGCTGCTATCAGTTTTTTTTTGGCTGGTCAAAAACCACGCAATCTGCTAATAAGTACAAAGCCTCTGCTGAAAAACAAAATTGGTTCGCAATTCTTAGCCACATCTTGTATTTGTTCTTGTTGTTCATTGTTCAGAAGCAAGGAAATTCCGGTTAAACGAGTGGGCATTAAAAGTACAGTCTCTCTATCTGAGCTGTGAACTTATGCATCAATTGCAGCTGCTACAGTCCCCGCGGGCTGACCTCTGGGGAGGTCCGGGGTTGGCCAATGGCCGACCTCCGGGCAAGGCAAAATTTGCTAATGCCCTACCCCCGGGACCGACAAGGGGGAAAATATCCCACAGTGGCCCGCAGGGGGGGGGGGACTAGGTGCAGCTGGAATTGATTGATGCATTAGGGCATTGCATTTTGCCTGACCCGTGGTCCCTGAAAACTTAAGTTATAATCACGTATTATAACAACCTCGTTCCCAGGGTTCTCTCCTACCCGGTAGGAGAGACCCTGGGAACAAGGTTGGTGTTATAACAGGATACAAGCTTACAATTTCTTTACTCGATTGTTCTAGTCGATTACACTCGAGCACAAGAGCACTCCTTAACGACCTGCGTAATACGACTTATGAGTGGCTTTTTTCGTTTTTCCGTGATATCATCCACGTTTAAGCCAATATCTTCACAAATGTCCCTTAGCACTGCAACTGTTAAGGTAGATAATTTCTTTGTATGAACCAAACTGCAAATGTTACGGGAAAGGGCGACAATGGGGTGACGTAAAGCAATTTCTTCTCTGACAACTTCCTTTAGGTGCGAATGTAAGGCCTCTGCCTCGACTGCACTCTGCTCTTCGTCTTCACTTCCACTTTCTTCGTTCGATGTTGCTGACGTTTTTCGAATCCTTGCTGCCAGTCTTGAGAAGAATCCTGCCACCTGCTGTGGCGAAAGAATATCCTTTCCACTGAAAATACGAGCAGCCTTTTCGTCCCTCACTCTTCGCATTTCTTGCGATACCTGTTGTGGATCTGCCTTTTTACCACACTCCTCCCCGATAAGAAACTGTTCTGTGAGGAACTTTCTTTGTTCTTCTGTAAACTGGGTTCTACTCCTTGTTGTTTTAAGAGCCCATCCCATCTCAAGTGCGGAATGTAGTTTATCAACTGAGATTTTTGATGTCGTGTAGAAACCAAAAGTTGGAACTTTCGTTTGCTCTCCAGTTATTCTCGCAGCATATCCTTTTCTGGCTTTGTCAAACAGTGTTTCTTTTTCTAGCGCGCGCTTGTGCTTTCCTTCGTCTAAATGTGCTTGCAAACTTGAGGACCGCTGGAATGTCTGAATACACCCATCTTCTGGGCAGGTAAAAAGGCCGCTTACTTCCTCTTTCTCTTTTTCTACATCCATGTCTTGTCCTGCTGTCTCTTGCTGGTCAGGACTACTCAGCCGTTGTTCGGACAAAGATTTTTGCTGCACTTCCTTTCTAGGATTGATTTTTCTAAAGCTTGACTGCTGAGAGCGGGTATCAGGAGGCTCCAAAACTTCAAGTGTAGCAGGAAAGATACCATCGGTTTGAATGTCCTTCCATGTTACCAGCTTTCCGGGCCCGATGTTATAAGCCTTCCATGTTGTGATACCATTTGGACAAAACTGGAAGTTATTAAGCGTACTAATTTCGTCCCATTTGATCACGTTTTTGCCAGCAGATAGTTCGGGAGGCTTCACATACTTCACAATAACGCCAGGAATACCGCCATTTGATTCAATGGCTTCTTTCATCTGTGCAGCGTTGTTCACATCGTGCCCCTCGTTTAAGTACACATTGATATGTCCTTTAATTGTTGCGGCCTGGCGGTCGGCTTCTCCCCTTGCCCCTTGTGGATCTGAAAAGTCGAACCTCTCCACCTTGACATCAGAAAGACTGTTCAACCTGCTTCCTACAATGGTTGACCCACAATGATAACATCCTGCGTTGTCCTGTTTGCAATACACTTTTTGCAGTTGTGGCCGACGCTCCTTTAACATCTCGATAACATCTTGTAAAATGGCGGTTACTGCAACGCTATCCTGAGGGCAACTCTGAAACAGGTGGACAAAAGTGAGCTTCTCAAGCGGGGCATTTGCTTCTGATCTTGGAAAAGCCACTGTGATGTGCCATGGAATACCACGTTTGGCGAACCAGTCACACTGTGATTCGCGAAACTTTCGGGGTAAGAATTTCATCGCCCAGTCCATAACTAGTAATGCTGAACTCCGACATATGACATCTAACACGTCATGTTTTGCTTGATCCTGGTTAACTGTTCGGAGTTGGTGAGCTTTCCATGCCAAAATGTCCTTTTCAGCTTGAGCCACTAAACAGATACTGTCATCTCTTTCTTCTTCAGACTGAAGTTCTGCGCACGCTTCTTTTATGGTAGACAGCACCCCGGTTAATTTATTGCATTCGTAGCAGACCTCATCGTGGTTATGGTTGCACTTTCCTTGAAAACAACTATTTTTAGGATCACTTAGGGAAAACGTTAAACAGTGATCTGCAACTTCTGATTCCATTGTAACGTGCACCTAAAATGTGAAAGATTATTATCGTCATCATCATCATAGTTATCACTATCATCATAATTTTTACTATGATTTTTCGTTATTAATATCAGCTGCTTTAGGGTAAAATCTTTTAAAAGTAGTAAAAGAAGTTTGAAACTTATTAAAGCTTGTCCGAACCGCTTAAAGGGCGCAAATTGAAGATAGCTTCCGCTTAATCAATGTTTCGAGGTTTAGCCTCAATACTAGTTAGTACAATGCAGCCAGAGAAAGTTGACTTTCATGTTTATGACCAATTCGCTTAAATTTAGCATCAATCCAGCCAAAGTACAAAGTTAATAATCTACTAAAAGAATAACCAAATATTAAGATAGCCTTACCTTGTAATCAGACCGCAGATATTGTTTGGCAGACCGAAGTGTTTGTTTCATTTCCTTGGCCCAGGCTTGTGACTTTGCTTGATCTGCTATCTTGTCTACTATCTCGCTAAGATGTTCTATTGCCTTACTGCCTTGTGCAGAGAAGTTATCCAAGCCCTGCAGAGAGGTGCGCACTGACGCAGAGCAAACGTCTAGTACTCGGAGTTGTGTGCGCTTGCTCATCGGAGTGAAATTGGTCTCGGTACAAAACTGAAAATACTGTTGTGTTATCCGTTCTGGTATTAGCATCCGTACGACATTAGGTGTTTTAATCACCTCCCCCGTTGAAAGTTTCAGCATCTTTTCTCCAAATGGCATGTCTTGTACAATATGGGAACTTGTAATAAAGTCGAGAAAATGATCAACTTTGGCGAAATCAACCTTCATACGCCTAGTGATATCAGTAGGTACGATCGCACCTCTACCATGTAACAGTCTATGATGCCGCGCGATGTTAAATCTGTAAGGCGTCACCCCGGGAATGTAATGCGTCAGTTCCTTAAGCGATAGTTTATCTGCCAAGATGGACAAAATTTGTCTTCTCGTGCTCCAGTGAGTTGCGTTTAAATAGCTTTCTGCTAAGGCTTGTAAAATTTCTTCTTCGGCTTGTGTTCTCTCAGATGGTAAGCTTTCACCTAATGTGGTCAATAATTTATCACTTTGTCCTGGAGCAATTACTTCAAGAACCTCTTGAACACTTTGTTTTGCTTTACGGCTGTACCTTCTCTTTGTGCGCTCGTTAGCACTTTCCCATGGAACGGACAACTTATGTCGAACAGGGCTAACATCACGAGAGGCTAAAAAATCGTTTAACTTTTTTAAAGGCTCTTTTGCCGTGTCTACTTGGCTTCTATGCGGTGTGTTCTCAAAATCAGAACCTTCCAAATCCGATTCTGGGATGAATATACTCTCTCTTCTTTCATCAACATGAATTACTTGGGCTGCTGCAGTTTCTGCCTAAAATTTCACAAAATTAAAAAGTCTGAAGTAAGACCCCAAAACACTTCTTCCAGTTTCGTTGTTGTCAGTACAAACATAAAACAGTTTGAACGTACTCAAAATTGGATTCAAACTAGCTGCGTACGGTTTCTAATATTACAAGGAAAGATCTTTGTAGTTTGTAGACGTAAATTATAGAATGTCATACTTACCAGAGTAAGCTCACCTAGATGCTCTGTAAGTTGGTCAAAATCTGATTGTGGCAGGCTGCTTTCAGGGGTATGTGTTTGTTTCGTCAGGTTCTTTCGACACTTAGTACAAATCGCTAAAAAAATATAAAAAATTACAAAAATGTTAACCCACTCTTTTCATATTTTCTCACCCGCACTTGCATTTCTGATTTCTTGCTATGCCATTTATCATTTTTACACACGCCCCTCTCTCATCGTTTTCTTTTTCGACCTTGGTTCAGCGTATCGCTCGGCTGTAATTCTTACTTTGCGAACCACAAAAGAAGAAAAAAAACACACATCAAAAAACCGCCGGCTACGTATACTATATGCGAGGCTACCCTTCGAAATCGGTAAGGCGCAGCTTGGCTCCTTTCCAGAAATGGCGCCGAAATCACAGTTCTTGAGTGTGAACAAAAGCCCTATCCCGGGTTTGGTTTTCTTGGCGGAACAAAGATATCTTGCATAGTGTGAACATAGGGTTAAAGGCCTGTTTATGTGAAGCGAGCCAGCCCGATTAGCCCAGCTTGCCTGCTTTATCCGGCTGGCTCGGCTTATACCCTGTGTCCTTATAAAATTTTTGCTATGTTTATATGAGAGACCAGGCTGGCGAGATACTGGTTGCCTGAGGAGAGATTTCTGCAAGTGGGTCAGTCCGGCTTCATATATTAACAAAACGGAAATTTTAAAGGGAACCAAGGTATTAGCCGAGCCATTCCAATAAAACGGGCCAGCCCAGCTAACTGAACTGACTCACCATTTTAACGACGGGAGAGATATGTTTGATGTGTTGTATGACGTCATACGTTATAACCAAATGTTTTACTCCCGCAAGTATTACAAAAGAAGAAGGATTATATTTACCTGAACCAACTGGAATGAATTCACCAGTGGCTTCCAATATGTACTTCGACTGAGCCAAGCTACATCCCCGCTCGGCATTTTTCTTGGATTCTTCACTGTGTCCAGAGAGTTTGCCTGGAACACTGCATACCCGCTTAGACCTTCGCCACCCAATACCCAAACTAACGCGGTGCAGCGGACAGATAGTCATGTCGTGGATATTTTCTGGCGTTTGGAAACAACCACTGCGGGCTAGAATAAGCTCAATTTCCGTTTCGCAGCCACTGAATTGAAGCTGTTTTTTGTGGCTCGATATGTTCTTTGAGCATGATACCAAGGGTACGATTTTACGCGACGCAGTCTTTGACTTTGGATCAGCCCCGCATTCTCCACCGACCAAAAGCGAGAAGGTACACGCCATCGCTCACTATTGTAAGTCAACGTTTACGTTTAACGATTAACTCGGCGCTATTTTACTTCCTTGAGAAATTTACAGTGAAAATTAGTTTTTCGGAGAGAGACTTGTAGACTGAAACAATGGTAACACAATACTGGTTGAAAATACGCCAAAGTAATTTAATTATCAAGTGCTGCAAACGTAACTATATTTTTGATGCATCTTGTTTATGCCAGTCTCAATCCCAATTTTTATTTTAAGGGACTTTACGCCAGTCCAAATCAAAGTTTTTTCAGTTTTGAAGGGATCTTTAGCCATAGATTTTTTATTGTTTCAGTTTAAATGCCGTGTTGACAACCGCGAAGTCGCGATGTACTATTTACACAGCTGTTCTGTATTTGCATAATGGCTTGGTGCGGTCCAAAAAAACAGAGTTCGTGAAGTCCTTTCCTCTAAAGGAAACGGAATATATAGCGGAGGATTTCAAAGCGGAAATCGCTCATACGTTATTCGACGTTATGTGAAGTCTAATAACGGTGTCAAAGGTCGGTGCGTGACGTGTAGGAAATCAATGTCACGATATCATGCATGGAGTCTCAGTCCTATAAGCCACTGCCAAACTGCCGTTAACTTTAAAAATAACGTAAGGGCAGCGACTTAGTGATATACCAAGCTAAATCTCACTTGCACTTATAATTTTAGACTCAATTTTATCCAAAAGTAATACGATTTTTGTACGGTACTTTCTCGCAGTTTCAATATGGCGGTCATCGAAAAATCTTGCAAATTAGCAATCTTCGGGGCAGTCGTATCGAAAAACTGAAAAAGATCCCAAAGAAATGAAAATGAAACATAAAACATCTATCCTTAAACTGTAGAGAAAGCTTAGTCTGAGGATATATTTTGGCGTACCGACCGGATTTTTAGGCAAGTCTTTTATGTCACTTTAGAGCGATCCAGAAAAGGCAACGAAGTGCCTTCAACGAAAAGCTCTCCACGAGTCATATAAAATAAATTATCAGTCATTATAGACAATATTTAATTGACCAAGGGACAAGCTATTTATTCATAGTAAGAAATCATTTATAGGCTTTACCCCGCAAACTTGAAAGAGTCACGAATATAGTAAAATTTCGGTTCATCAAAGAGGTCATTTTGGTGCAAAACGGACCCAACCGATTTTATTTCATTCCCCTTATGAACGCAAAAATTAGACAAAACTAACCCTATTTTGTTAACTACGATACAATACTCTATCAATGTAAAAAGTATCAGCGAAAACGAATTTTGAGCTGTGTCCGTGAATTTGGGATTATCTCCGATTCTTACTGACATTGACTCTTAAATCTTTATTCCCTGAGAGCAGGAGCCTCCACTTTCTGGATCTCCAGCTCAATGTCCATAACCTGAAAGACAAAAGATTATCGAGGTCTGTTTGAAAAATAAAGTTTCTCTTCATTAGCATTTTTACAAGTCCAGTGTCTTATTGAGAGCTAAAGTAACAGGCCATTTTTAAGGTCAAAAAAACTGTCTCTTTTAAAGCTAAGTGCAAAAACCCTTTTTGTAAAATGATTTTTTCATAAAAATAATAAAAAAAAAAATTTCATGCCAGAAGCTTTGTAATTAGCCTCACTTTGTAATTAGTCATCTTTAATAACACCAAAGAAAATTTCTTATCGGAGTCCAAGAAAATGAATGTCAAATTTCACAAGAACTGTGAAAATACAGGTAAAATTCTGAAAATTTCATCTGTAAGATGTAATTTGTAAAATGTGACATTCATTTCCCGGGCTGCCATAAGAAATTTTCTTTGAATTTGAAAGCTGAGGTGGAATAAGATACGAAAATAAAACAGTATTGTGATTAGCACAAAAACTCTGCAAACAAGTTGTAATAAATGATGTTGCGGAACTAGGTTGATTTAATACACACTGAGCTTAATCTTAAATATCTTTAGAAACGTATAAACAAGTTTACATAAAATTTGTTCCTGGGTCAGTAAAAATCCTGTCGCTAGAAAGCTCCGTTCACATGTAGTTTACAAATATTTGTTATGCACACGCTGTAATGCTTGCTATCACGGCGAAATGCGAACACCTCGGCCCCTAAAAAAATTACAAATGTATTGGTCTTGGTCGCCAAGAAATTTTAGAATTGATAGCTTACAAGAGAAACAAAACAGTTATTTACAAAGTGGTCGCTCACGAGAAGTGGTGGTCATGAGGGATAATAGTAACACTTCTATTATGCATTTTAACGTTTTATAATATATGATCAAATGCACATTACACATTGAGATACTACATTTAAATCTCCCCTTTTCTACACCTCGCTATAACAGACATGCTGATATTAGGGACAGCAGCTAAATCCCGGGCAAAAAATAAATTACAGAAGTTTCACTGAAAGAAACTCCCGGTACTGCGGACTCTCGCTAATGAGGACACTAACTTGAGGTCCCTGCCTTGTCCGCTATAAAGGGAGTTGACTGTATACGTACTACACCTATATACAAACATTTGTAAAAGATATATGGTACCAAATTAACACAGCAGATAACAGTAATAATAATTATGATGACTGTCTTAACGTGTCAAGCAAAAATCTAGCAGAGGGAATTCCTGCTAATAGAGGACACCCAACTTTCTAAAATACAATCTAAAAAAAACACAAAATGAATTAATATAGAGTCGAAAATAAAAATCTACTAAGAGTTAGAATTAGAAACTGCTAATGCTAACTCAAAGTTACTCTTACATATATGGTGCAGGATACAGGAAGTTACAGATAATACAGAACTAAAGTTGCACGCAAAAATACAGGAGATGACATGAAGTTTAATTGTACATAACACCAATAGATTATTGTAATATGATCTCAGCTTTCAGGTGTGCTTTCAGGTGTTTACGGGAATTGGCAGTCATCGCCAACTATTCCGGTCATTACGTGCCCGTAAACTGGCAGCAGTTTTAGCGCGCAAAATAGAAATCAAAATGGCGGCCAAGAGGGCCCACATGGCAGTGGATTACAACCAACTAAACAGTTTCTCTAGTGTTGTCCTTTATGATATCGCCCACACCAGCACAAGGCAGACGTACAAGAACAAATTCAACGTCAAACGCATAATTTATAGATGAAAGACCAGAAATGTGAGTATCAAAGTGAATACTTGGTGTCATTTGCATGTAGCAACATGTTACAAATCTGTTTTTATCTCTTCACTCCAAAGGATTATGAGTATCTTATTAAGTGGGAGGGTTGGGCTCTCGACCAATGTACCTGGGAACCAAAAGGAGCATCTAACACCAGAGTTGTTAAGAGTGCATCCACGATAGGACCAGGCAGGGGCGTACAAGTCATCTGACCGATTTCGATGAAACTTGGCCAGTTTGAAGGGGTCCACCCAAAACTACTTCACTCTAAGTTTAAGGAAATTTGGTCAAAACCGGGGGGAGTTGACCACCCCCTTGTTTTTGTTTGTTTTTTTTTTAATGACCAAAACACTCCTAGAAATTGGTCAAAAGTATAAAGCTCTAGTACTAAAAGAATTCAACCAAATCTTTTCATATTTTCAGTGAATGTTATCCTACCCAAAGACAATTTATTGTAAATGTTTCGTTCTTCTACGACAGTTTCTATGACGTAGGTCATCTTAGCCAAGACCCCCCCTCTCACCCAATAGTGAAAACTGTTGAAATATCCAAAGTTTAGGCCAAAACATCTCCAATGCCGGAGCAAGCTTCAGAAAATCTAGCATACCGACTAGAAGGCGGAACTTCATACTAACATTATCTGCAAAAAAATCTTTGGGCACTCATTTAATTATTCCACAAGAAGACTGCAAACACGTCGTCTACCACAGGGTACCAGTGTCAATTTTTTTCATTATAACGCGCTAATTCGGTAATTATCGCACAGCAACGGACAGACAATGCCACAAAATGATTACACACCATAAACTTTAATGAAATAGAACCATTTGTATCTAATCGCCTAAATGAAAAAAGGGCCCACCACAGGGTACCCACGTCAATCCTTTTTTTCCTTTCATTATAACGTGCTAATTCGGTAATGATAACGTAGCAACAGACAGAAAATGCCTCAAAATGGTTACACACTATAAACTTTAATGAAATTGAACCATTTCAAAAGCTTTTGTTTGTCCTAAGCCATGAAAATAAGAATCGGCGGCCTTATGATGACCTCTATTATTGTATAAGTGAACTTCGCGACGAAACGTACTCCTCGCTAAGTCAAACACTTGAGTCACAGAACACTATCAAAATGCTTACATTGTCTGTATTTGAACTTTAGAATGACTGTATAATAAAATTTGCTTTTGTTCGTCTAGTAAAGGAATAGTACAATTGCTTGAAACTTGCACGCCACATTGCATCTTCATACAGAAAACGTTATCCAAAAGAATTCCCTTTTCTGAAAATAAATTGATTTGCTTGCGACTCAATGTTGGTTGCCTAATATGCCTAAAAAAAGGAGAAAAAAATCCCTAGAAATTACTTCCTGGCAAGCGCATACATCTTTGTAATTTGATAGCTTGATTCGATTTTCCATAATAACTACAAACAGAACAAACTTTCGCTTTAAAAATACAAATTGACGCGAACGAATCGAGTTGTTTTGTTTTATTCTTTAAAAACGGAGGTTTTACATGTATAAAGGTTTGGCGCTCGTAGATGTTGAATTCGGGCTTAGGATATGTAATAGACCTAATAGCCCAGTGTTTCACACGCTTTCTATAAATAGACCGTTGATTGGAAAAAGCGTGCACACGCATGGATATTTCAAAGTGTTCCTCACATGCGCCTATCGGTTAGAGGTATAGGATGTAGAGGTGAAAAGGTCTCTCGTTAAAAACGATGTCGCAGTTCTCGTGCTCTTTTGCCGTACACTGTACCAGTGAGTGTGACTAGACAACTAGATACCCCGATCGTACACAGTTTTTTCCTTTCAATTCTTGCATCTAGAACTGAGTGAGTGAAATTGGTGCCTCTTTGGCAGCAATT